TCGCACTGCTGTGCTGTTTATGATACACGGCAGCATGCAGCAATCAAAGAAACATAGGAAGAAGAACGGACATACACATAGGAGAACAATATTCTGTACGCGTCCAGCTTTTGTTCTGCACCGATGCATCGGTTCCTACCATCGAGCCGCGCGTGTGGCAAATACCAATTAGCAGAAGTACAGCGCGTAACTATTATTCATGGCAAATGGACATGAGTGGCACAGCTATAAGGTTTTGATACCGACGAAGGCCGCCAACAGGGACAATGCTCGTCGTGGGATTCGCATCCGGCCTACGTTGCCTGTGAGTCTGAGTGCTCACCGTGAGAACGTTAACCACTTACCTCTGTATTTGTTGTTTAAGTAAACTCTAAGCGATGATAAACCGCTTTTAGGGGTCGTACTGTGATAGCAGTGGCAACAGCGACGATCATGAACTTCGATTCACTTGCATCACTTTGAAAGAACCCTAATGCATTTGAGGTTTGGTTTCCTCGCGTGTATTGGACTTGAATAACGGCGCACATATATGCACATACAGAGACGCAGAGGCGTAGGTATGTCTCGCGTCGATCAAATTTAAAAGTTTACATCTGTCTGAACTTACCTTTCGTCATCAAGTGACAAGAATAGTAGAAAAAAAAAATTTGTCGACTAAACAACTTGTCTTTCTTACGAGCTTTAGCTTGCTTGCAAGAATACCGCTGAAAAACGAAAACAAATATACTTCTATAAAGGTCTTGACATTATGATAGCGTAAGCTTTAGGTGTCAGGCGTATCCTGCACTATATGTGGATTCTTGGCGTGTAATGCTAGTGCAGCATCTGCTGTAGCAATATTATTTAGTGAACAGATACATCAAGCAGCACTATATTTTCTTTGAACTGTATTTTCTTTTAACCCACTTATTTACTTATTCTTTTAACCAGAGAAGGAGTTGAGGGTGACGTTTCATCGACCTAACAATGTCATGCTCTTTTGTCTTTTCTCGCTCTTTCAACGCGTCATTTTCTTGATTCTCTTTTAGAAAGAGCATTGTCCAGAAGAACACGGGCGTGCAAAATGCTGTACATCTTTTTGTTCCCGCCGCTTGCCTGGGTAGGACCATGGTCATACGGTTGGGTACACCTAACAAAGAGATTGATAGGTAGAGTCATCTCGATAAAATAACAAAAACGGCGACTGCGAAAAACACCGTCGCTATGAACACAAGCACAGTCTCATAGGTATAAGGGTTTGAGGAGATGGTCTCAGCTAGCAGGCTCTTCGTAGAGGTGTGGCAAGAAGACGACGCAAGTGACAGATTGGTTGTTAGCCTAAGAAGCCTTTACTCTTTGTAAAGGGGATGTTAGAAAGAGAGTACGCATTACTATTATTGTTATTATGAAATTATTATTAAAAAAAAAAAGCGAAGTGGACGGCAGAACGAGAAAGCAAAAAAAAACACTCGATCAGATCGAGAACAGAGATTTCGCTAGGTTTTCACTTCTTTTCTGGCGTGTGATGTGTCTTGCGATCTGAAGCAGCCTGACACTGGAACATACACAGCAGCCCTGAGCGGCTGGCTGCCTACAGCTGCTCCGCCCCTGTATGAATACTCACTACCCTTTTTTTGGTCTTTTGTCGTCGTCGCTGCATAGTCGTAAGTTATACGACTTCAAAACTCTGCTGTTGCTTGGATAATGTTGGCCGGGTAGGAGTCCGATCGGGGCGTGTTCATTGTTCTTTTAGTTACTTTCGCCACGTTCATCGGCCAAACCGTTTAATGGTGATGACAGCCGACCATTCTTTACTGTCCCCAAATCGTCTTGCGTAAGGACAGCAGATACGTTGGTGCTCGCAACTGTATCTTGGTGCTTCCTGCTCTATATTCGCTGCTCTGCGGCTTTTTTTCTACTCCCTCTGTTGACTATCCTTTTTGTTCTCGTTACCCAAGAACGGTCCCTGTCGTCGGTCCAGTGGGCCCATTCATCTACAACATGCCTATATATGGGTGGGGAATTAACAATAAACGACACCCCATAGTCGCAGACGCAGTCGCCATCGCTGCGGTCAAAGCATGATTAGCATAAAGCGGTACGACAACGAGAGGAACTGACCCCTTACAGTGCGCTTACGTAGCAGCTTACTCTGTACTCGCTAGTTCATGGTGTGCTTCTTTGGCCCGTTACCTTAAGACCTCATTCTCTTATTCCAGCCGCTTCTGTGGTTCCCTGGCATCTTGAACCAGGGGAAGGTGGTAGCCAGTGTACATTCAAGCGCAACGATCCACTTTCCATACAGCATTTGTCGTCCCACTCCTTTATCGCCCTTTTCCCATCTTTTTATGCATAATTCCCTTAAATAGATCGAGTTGCTGCTTGAACCTCACCAGGGTAGGGGCCACTGAGAAAAGGAAAAAGATATGTCCCCATTTCGTTGTCGGGTGATGCGGCCCGAGGGGTAGGATACAGGATGAGCTGCCTCAGGATGGATGCAAAGGGAATATGGGGTCGCTAGTTTCAGCCAGTGGAAGGAAAGGACCGCACCAGACCGAACAGTTAGTAGCATAAGTGTACCGGAAATATGGAGAGTTCGGTCCTTCAGGCGCTGGATCGCACGAGGGAGGAAACATCCATGGCGACGAAGGTGGACGGGGAAAAAGGAGCCGTCAGGACGTCGGTTGTTCATTTCGTCGGTTTGTATCGGTAGTAGAATGTTATGGGGTAGCATCATAACTCAAAGGACCCAAACATTCCTGGCGTTTTGATGGACTGTGCGACTCATGTGGAGCTTGATGCTGCTACTATTGCCGAATCTCGACTGTCATTTTCTCCTATGGAGCAGATGATCATGTCCTCAACCAACATTTGCCTTGCTTCAGTTGCCTCTACTGCCACTAGGTCGATCGGCCGTAAGCCCGATGTACATGGACAACTGGTCATTCACGAGTTTGCGCCTTCACAGCCTCCAACATCCGCACCGATATCTATACACCATGACCCATTCAACGAGCGTACTAAAACTTTCTTAGGAATGCAGAATTGTGTTACCAAGGAAAGCATCGGCGTCGACTTCACACAGAGGCAAGTGACAAGCGGAATCGTTGGGGACGATAGACGTTTGCGAATGTCGCACGGTATCATCTGTGCATTTTTCTTCTATCGTATGTAACCGCGTAAGCGAAAAAGGATTCGAACTAGGACGGCCAAAATATTTATTTTTTTTGGCGCGTCAGCAACATACGTACGTCTAAACTACGCAATTGAACATCACGCTAGCTACTTGCCGACCACTCGGTGTTACAAAAGTTTGCTGTGTAATGTGGGACGCAATTGAGAAACAGTAAACCGTAATAGGAAAAACCAAAGTGAGGTAGTAAAAAAAAATTTCAAATTCGTCGTAGTTGCTTGTTAACAAACCTTAGTAACAAAGCTGAACTATTGTTGACGAAAGATATAAGGGAACAACTTAGATTGTTCAGTTCTTACCTCATTATCATTACCAAAGGCTGGTCGAGGCATCGATATGAGCTCATGAGTATTGAAAAGCATAAACCAAAAACATACGATAGCTTGAATTGAAAGTGAGTGCTCCGTTAATATTGTAGTTAAGAATCGATACGTAATATCCAGAGTATCATTAGTAAAACATTCGATAGAGCATTACAGTGATTGTTATCATTGCAATCCTGGAAAGATTTGATGATTTCAACTAAAAAAATCGTCATGGACCTGAGGTTTTACTTCAGATAATATATTGACGATAACGAAAATCAGATATTTATCAAATGGTAATTCCTTGTACCCTATGTATATACTACTTATTTGATTTTTGTTACGTTAAGGACATTTAGCCTAACTGTCAAATTGAATTTGTGCCGTAGCTGAGAGGACAGTAAATACGCAAGGAGTTTGGTATCGGAAATAGTTTAAGTTAGATTCTCCATAACGCTTCTTTTGCTTCTTATTCTGTTTCTTGCCTAAACATTTCTTGTTGTGCACGTTTTCCTTTTCCGTACCCACGTCGCTCATTTCCTTTCCGCCGACATCGATACGTACACCGGTACGACCCAATTTCATTTTTCAAAGTTCTTCTCGGTGTCTCCTAAGGGACACACATCTTCTACTCTCCTTCCTTCCATGGAGCCTTCTTCATATGCGATGACAGCGGCATTACCCTTTTCCCAAAATGGTCCGCCGTGGTCACAGTCTGTTAGGAAACTGGGGCACTATCAGCAGGTGACGGTTACCTCTGAAACTATTGCAGTCCTAGTGGACTGGGCTGAACTGCACCGGATGAATGTCGTAGCAAAAGAAGAAAAAGAACCAGAAGAAGCAGCAGCGGGCAGACAGCCACCAATATCGCTATGTAGTTCTTCAAAGTGTACGCGAAGTTGAAAAATAGCGAGTGCATGTTGCTTTCATCACAGCAAAAAAAACGTCAAATGTCATCGCTGTTTTCTTTTCATGACACGCTTCCGGATAAAGTGCGGGCTAATTCAAGGTTAGGGGGGCAGCAGCCGCACAACGGCTTGTCATATGCCCGTACTGTGCCGCGACGTGGTCGCTGGTTTAGTGGATGAGCATCTACAAACGGTAATCGTGGCTCTAACAGGACTAACCAGCCACGACAATAGCGGCGAATACGCGTAGTAGGCAGAAACGAGCGGCGCTAGTTGGCTGGCGCTATCACCTGCGCTGGGTTCAACGGTAAGGACAATACCACAAACGTAGCGGTGTATTAAAAAACAAGGGAAACAGCAGATGGAGAACTTCATCCTAGCAGAAACTGTGACTTCCTGAAGAAAAGGGAGGAATTAGACTGTGCGAAACCGAGCAAGGGAAGCTGGCAGAGGATGCCAAGGAAGCTTGCCGCTATCACCATAGCCTCGACTGGTGCCGAAACCCTTTTACCGCGACTTCCACTGCTATATTATAGAACACCTGTTAACACTAGCACCCGCGGTAACAGGGAGAGCTGTCTTTGTTACCGTTCCTATATTACCTCTCTACAGCTGGCCCTCGTCGCAGACCAACCATCCGCTCGCTCGCTCGTTCGTCCGTCCGCCCGCTGAGTATGTTCTTCGGCCGCTCCATTCTCTTGTTAATCCAGTGGTGACGGATGGCTACGGAGCTGCTGCTGCTTTCTGCCAGTAACCGAGAGAACGACAGAAAACCTGGCTTCTTGACGAGTCGTGCTGACCAGAATAACGGGGGTGCGCTGATCTGGCTATCGCTACTGCTGTTGCCGGTGAAAGGGCGATCAGCGAACGGGCAAGCGCGCGAGCCAGTGACTCGACCAACGAAGATCGAAAGGAAGGCCAAACGAGAGCATTGTTTGACCTTTACGTCGCTTATTGCACTGCTCAGTTGAACCGGCCACCGCTAGTAGCAATAGCAGCAGCCATAGGCACTTATATCCATGAGATACAGTAAGAATATGTTGTAAGGGGGCTGAAAGGCTAGTGGACAGAAGAGACAACGAAGATATACGAGCACCACATAGCGACATGTATGACTAAGATTTATTTCTTCTCCAGAGGTTTTCGTATCTAGCTGTTTCGTTACGCATCTTGGAAGCGTTCGATTTAACAACGTATGCGGCCTTTGTAGTTGGCACTCATCCTAATGTAGTTATTGATCTATCAGTTTTGTTTGTGATTAATATCTTCACTACATAGTGATGCGGAAGTGCATTCGTGTTGCCATGTTGACAACAAAATGTGACCGCCTGATTTAGTACAAGATAGATCGCAGGCTAGAAACTGGACCGGTACCTCATATTATAGAAAATCGTTTTACTCCGATAAACCATATTCAGTTGCAAATTGAATTGTTGTAAATTGAGCGCTCGAATTATTATAGAAATGCCCGAATGACGAAATAGCGCGATTGTTAATCACACACACACACACACGCTTTATTAGTCATACCAATGTTTATGCTTTGCATTAGATCAAGGGTGTTTTTAACCGCTCGCTGTCAGCTATTTTACACGCATTAGGACGGCATAGGAAAGTTAATGTTTTTACATACTTTCTAGAGAAAATGAAATTCTATTGCATTCATCTGCATTTATACGTTTTTTATTTCTCTTTATAGCAGAAGAGGAAGCCCAATTATATTAGGTTTGTTCACTAGCTTTAGATGCGTTCTCTTATTGATTTGAAGTAGTTTACGGAACAGCCACAGTGGCATGAACGCACGAAATTTTCAAAGCGACTTAACGAACTTATCCTATTCTCCATAGGCTCAACTTGGTTAGGTGCTAGCAATTGGCCTTGGGGTCCAGTGGAACTACAGACGCCAACAGCTAGTTAACAGGTCGGTTCAGTTGAAGCTGTTTGGGGCAGAGTACTTCGGAGAACAAGCTTTATTCGGAACCGTCAACTTGCCCTACTAACGCTGAGACCTGGCCAAGTTCTCTTTGGAAAAACCCCGGTCCGGCACTGCGCATGTATCGCGGCCGTCGCCATCGTCATGCTCGTGACGTCGCCAGCGATGAACCAGCCTGGCAGTACTCTGTATGTCAGTTCATATAGGGTCAGTGTAGGATGCATTCTGTGGCCTTTGCACCCGGGCTAGCACTAGACGGACACGTACAAACACATTGGCCGAACCATTCGAGAAAGTGCCCCATGAAGCCATTCCATGATAAGAAAGTGATACTCGTTTTCCATGCGTCGTTCGTCAAGCCACTCTTAACGTTGTTAGCGAGGTGACTGCGGTATCGGCTGTGAGCACTGCTGAGATGTTGGCTTGCTTCCGCCCTGAACATGAGACGGGTGAACGTCATGCGTACATAGTTGAAACCGCTGTAAGTTTGCGGAGTTGCATAGTTGGGCTGCGAACGAGTGAATAAGCAGAGAGCCGAATGATCGTATAGACCAGCTTTAGGCTCTAGAAATGCCCATTTGAATCGGTGGCCTACTTTTTTATGTTTCAAATTGAACACCAACTAGTACTAACACTATGCTAAGATACACTCAATTCGAATCATGTGTCTACCGGTGTACACCTGTGCCTATCAACAATTACTAAAAGATACTGTTGTTATAGTGCAGTATGGCCATAGTTGCTGTTGGAACTAATAATTATAGCGTTTTGCGTAGACGGAGTGGGGGAGGAGACGAATAGACGTAGTGTGCATGCATAATGATGTACAGTGCCAATAAAGCAAAATGCTTAGTACCAACCGACCCGGATATAACCGCGAACGGCTAGGCCGAAGCTGTCGATTCATACTCGTGTACCAGAGACACTCTTGATCCCTATGCAATAACTAGTCTCCATATACGTACGACACCTGCCCAACCGTCATGTTTTAAAATTATAGCGAGATTTGGAGGCAAATCGCTGATCAAAAATATAATCTCTACCTCTAGGTTAGTTCAGCTATCTATCTCACTAGGAAGCAGCATTAAGCACGTCCTAAAACAGTTACGAAGACCCGCTGATTTGTAAATTAAGCAGTTAACTGGTTAGAAACAGTTTTCGATTTCAACACATTTACAGCTACAGAGTGACCTAGGCGAGGTTAACACGTCGTCACAACACCTAGTCACGAAGCAAAGCAACACGCCAAACCCGTACGAATCACCGATAGTGTTTATTGGTTCGAAGCTCACAAACGTAAAATTGTTGTTGTTGTTGTTGTAGTAGTAGTAATGGGCAAAAAGCTAACTAGGTTTGACTTACGTCGTTCTAACGCTATTGGGTCAAAGAGTAACTCTTGATCACAGCGTTGCGTCCTCATCTCTCTGCTCTGTTCATACGTTTATCAGTTGCTTATATCCCATTATTATCGCTGACTTAGGTGGGCGCTCGTCATGCGTTCCTTCGGCCTTATCGTACTGCGATATTCGAATCGGCAGCAGTATCACTTCGAACGGAGAGCATGATATAAGCCCTTTTATTCTCCAACAAGTAGACCAATAACAAATTATCCATTATTACCAGCGTTATCGTGCTGATTTTTCGGACGTTCTTCTTCTTCTTGATCCCCATGTACTTGTCCCATATTGTATTGTTACACTGGTAACGGTTTCGCCCTCGAAGTACAGGTGGTTGTTGTAATACTGGGAATTTGCTTCTGCTGTCGCTCTTATTATCATCATCATCGTTGTCGCTTTCTTTTCCTTCAGAGTTACCTATCGGCATGATGACGATGAGGAATATACAACAAGACACTTTGCTCATAGTGACCCCCGCTCGAGTGATCACTGCTGTTGCTTTAATTATTCCTGCAATTGATCAGAGCTGCATTGTTCGTTCGCTGACGTTATTACCTATTATCGTCTGATACAAAGAAAGGGTTTGGGAAAGAGGCGCTTGGGGGACTGTAGCAACGACAACGAAAGAATTAGAGGAAAAATCGTCGTGGTATTTCAGTGCCAGCTCAACTGAGTTCGGGCTCGTTGCGTAGGGGCATCGAGCGAACTCTCTCGGTCGAACGAATCCAAGATGTCGTTATCGTTACTATGATTATCATTACAGCTAACGCACGAGTTACAAATCATACCCTGGACGTTTTTATTGTTGTCGATCTATGCGTACTACAATAGTTCGCCGTGACTCAGCCGCCACTTGTCCGTATGCTGAGTTTAAATTCGTTCGCTTTCTGCTATTTGCTCCTTTATCTGTCGTTGTCCGCGAACGAGGTCTGCTGGCGACGAAACGTAGACGCGAGCTCCGTCTGTATATTCTAGTTTTCATAAAACACTCACACGACACTTAATTATTTATGCATGTCAACATCTTTCACAACTAACGTCACCTTTTCTTGCGCGTATCGTACGATTCCTGCAGCCGTGATGCTTCAGTGGCTGAATCGTACGTTGCTGAGAAGTCGATGAGCAACTGAGGTAATCGAGTAATTACTCATGGTTAATAGTACTGGGCTGGTGTGCATCGTCTAATGACTTATCGTACAGGCGAACGTATCAGCTTTTTCGATCCGTTTCGTATACTGATAATAGTGTGTTTATGATATATTTCATCTCCGATATACAATGTACAGTAAATAGTTCTCACACCTTGGGCAGCAGTCGCCGTTGTTCTTATAACGATCATAGTTAGGTACAGCATTAGGCCATCCCCTCTTCGTATCACCGTTGCCCTTTATCGACTGCGCTATGCTAGTTAGTTCGTTATACCAGTATTGTATGTACTAGGGCTATAATTAATTTTTGCTCAACTAGCTTGATCCATTTTGTTCAAATCTGTTCGTGTACGTACGTCTGTGTGAATGGCAATGTGTGCACGTTTGTGTAAGCATAAAAATTCCTTTAGATATATCTATATTAGCTTCAGTTCTCTACATGTCTACTTTTCGTTTTCACCATAATCTTCATAGTGTAACCATGATCAGAAGTGGACTTCACAAACAACATCTAGGCATGATTCCCGCCTATATCGGCTCGGTCCTAGATGCTCGTAATAGCGGTAGTAATTGTTATATTATAGGTTCCTTAATCTTATAGGTTATTGTTGCATATGTAACGACATCAGGACGATAGTTTAATTCGAGCAGCTACGAACTAAGGTCGGCTGAACGTTCAGTTGGTTTCAGCAGAAGTGGAGCAGCATACTGAACCCACATTATATTAATGGAAGTACTTCTAATAGTTCTTCCACAGATCTAATCCCTCTTAGCCTTTCTCTCTTTTGGTTGTTCGCCGAAAAAAGCAGCCCCCGCGGGCTCAGGGGTCTTAGAGCCGGCTAGGGTCCCGTATAGGTACACATTCGTCCAACTGTCCCCTGCGATATCAGGTCATCAACACGTCGTAGCGCCCCATGGCATTTGGTTACCAGCCGGGTTCTTGGTCGCTAGTTCGTTGCGTTAGGGCGTTGACACAGGCGTCTGAAAAGGCCTGAACTGCTACGCGGCTGTGTGTGCCTGCTTTGTGGGTCAGGAGATACTTTTGACTAGATATATATTATTGGGTGCACGTGGGATTTGAGGGACGAGTATTTCGTAATAAACTTGTTTTACGGTTGTTCTCGCCTCATTCATAAATCTGTCTAACAAGTACGACTATTATAGTTATTATTAGCTGAGACTGACTATAGAGACACAACCAAACGTATATATATCTTGCAATGGTTTAAAAGTGCCACAATAATAATGGTTATTATTGGTAATTGTATTTATTATAAATTAATTGCCCGCAGCATAACATAGCAGTGGTTCGCATCTCGACGACGATGATGATGATGTAGGTAGTAGGGGCATTATGCTACTGTGGTTTATCGTGAAATCAATCATCCTCGCCACATTCAAGATCTCCATGTGGACGTTTCGGCTCAATCAACCATCAGTCAGGGAGGGGGAAGATTTGTTCAGTGTAGAGTATTTATATAGTTGTCCATAGTATACTACGTGTATTTCAAACAGTTTTACCTTGAACAGTAGCGTCATACCTCTTACACACCCGATAACTAGGCTGTGTATATATCTAAGTACGTACAACGTATGTAAAATCACGTTAGTAATTCTAATAATCGTATAGAGCAATTACATATATTTTACAACGGTCTCGCGTTTGCAGTAATCGTGTCATATATATTATTGGCACCGCGGCGCTGTTACGATGGCCTATGTACCTTTTCAAACACCGTCCTTTTGAACTGTTTTTTTGTTATAAAGTATATTTGTCTTTCAAAATTATATCGCCTTCTGTAAGAATCGCTATTACGGTACACTTCGTTCGAACTCGCCTAGTGATTACCGTACGTGTTAAATACGATCGTAACTTAAATATTATGGCTAAGAAAATTTCATTTGCCGTTGCGTTCTTCCGGACGTATTCGTATCCACAGTACATTGCCACAGCACCTTCCGTGCACGACCAAGCGTCCTATCTCACTTATCCAAAGACATTATACTTTCCGTCACTTGTCTTCTCGACTTTACCGAAGTTTGACTCGTTGACGTATGTTTTCGCTAGGAGAGACTGCGTCACATCCCGTATCTCTGCCACCCAAGCAGATTTCGCATGGCTAAGAAGAATCATATAGAAGAAATATAGAAGCCAATATTAGCGTTTGCGCCAACCACGATGACCCCTCAATCCTATGGACCTCTCACTTTGTACAAGTAGATACCCGTTATTACTTGTGCTGTTACTTTTCACATTGCCAGTATAGGTGTTGGTATGATTAACATTAGTCGCATCCATGGTCGCGCCGGCGCAGTAGGCGTCGTCTTCAAATTCGCTGTAGATTTCATTTCTTTGGGGGCTGGACAAAAGGTGAACGTGGTCGGTAATGGGTTTAGTCGATGAAGCTAAGACTTCTTTGTTGCCCAAATGCAAGCGCAACGAACGCTTAGCTTCATTGGCTGTTTCAAGGTAAAGCGATGCGAGGGCAACGACTAGCAGATTTGAGCGTGGGGCATATGCTACAGTATTATTTAGGTAGATGAACAAGAGGCGTCACGTTCAACGATTTAGCTGATATAAAGAGCCTTTCGCGTAAAAATAGTTCCATCATGTTCAACTGTATTATGTTTCGTTTGCTTCGCGTTCCCTCTTGTCTTCTTTTTTTGTTTTTTTTTTTTGTTTTTTTTTGCTTTATAATTGTATGTTGTATGCAAGGGCCCAAACTTGTAGGCCGCCTCATAGTTTTCAGACGATACGTTGTAGGTCAATCGATATTCGTAGGTAAGTGAATGCCCAACATAAGAATTCTGTACCGAACTGTTCGCGTTTATCGAATTGGTTTATTTGGCCTTATGGGGTTATTATTTGTCGCACTTATGATGCTTTGACATCTTCACCGATCAAACGCAGGCTCAGATAGTAGTACGGCATGGAGCTCTAACAACGCGTAATTGATCCTTCTTGTTGTCATAAACAGTGTTTCTTGGCCTGGTTTTCATTTCGCTGCTAGCTAGCTTTAGCTGATTTTTTAAAAATCGGATTGCTCTTATTTGTTCGTCTCTAGGCAGGGGGTTTGAAAAATGCGCCGTTTTCAGCTGGTTCAAAACAGTTCAGGGGGTGTCTTTGTCTAAGTGGTTCATTGTGGCGGCTCAATCAAGTCTCGATAGCCAAATAGATAAGGCATATCGTACGGAGGTTAAGTGGATGGCTTATGGATGCAATTGCAGGTTGCTGGATGGAATCACGTCGACCTATGTACTTCTGTTTTATGACTAACATCAATGTTGTTATTCTAGTGCTCAGGCATCAACTCGTTCAGCGTCGATCTTTGCTTTGCTGTTGTCCACGAGCGAGGCCAATTCGGTGACGTTTGCCTTAATGTCTTCGGTCGCGGCAGCTTGCATATCGATGACGGCGATGCTGTTGAGCGCGGCTTGTTTTCGTAGGTCTGGACTGCTGGCCCTTGATCCGATCCGGGAACCGGGCCGGGAGCCGCGTGGTATGGAGATATTTGACGCACAGCTTGGACGTCGCGACGCGGTGCCGACGTGGCTATGGCGCCGTTTCTTGCTATCGTGACGATCGGCTTTCATAAGATGCAACAGACGCGGATTCGGCGAATTGAACACGGACCGTTGATTACGGAACCGCGCACGGCTGAATAGCTGCAACGCCACACACATCCCTACGAACATGATAGCGAGACAGACAATCATTGGTATCATGTTCTCACTTTGGCTTGGCTGATAATTGTGTTTCTTACCACTACCGCCCCCAGCACCTCCACTGCCACTAGATGGCGGCCCTGCCGGCTGATGCGGCGAGATGCACGACGCATCGGCTGACGCATTCGTTTGTGTGGTAAATCCCACTTTGCACGCACATGTTTGATTGATGCATACGGCATTCACTATTGGGCATTCCGTATCGTTTTGGCAGGGTGTTCCTAACCGCAAAAAGATGCGTGTACCATTTTCTGCTTTATTGGCGCTTGCGGGTGCGGTAGGCGCTGGTGGAATAGTTGACCTGCCTGGACCCGGCGGCACGCTCGGCTGTGCTGTTTGACCAATTGCATTTCCAACTAATAACATCAATAAAAATAATAGTAGCAATAGGGGTTCAGGTATGGTGTTTAGGAAAGTCGGTAACAGCAAAGATAGTCTCCGGCACATTGGCACGTTGACGCTTTTCGGCGGCACATCGGCAGCACCGGTGCAATATAAATCGACTGGACTGGCGACAATCGTCATCGTGATTCGTTTTTACTGTTATTATTATTCTTTTTGCTGCCGTTTCTGCTGTTATCGGTGGTCGCAGAAAGAAATCGCCCCCGACAATGCGCCCGCGGCACCGGGCGACCCGCCCGCTGCCTACCACGTTTGCTTTTGATACTAACGTTGAGCTAACAAACACAGACGGAAGCACGCACGCATTCACTTTGAAAAATAATAATAGTATCACACAAGTTGCAATAGATCGATAAGTAGTCACCTGCAGGCCCGTCAGGTTGTTGGATGACTCTTCTGCTGTTTCACTTTGCCTGTGCCGAAGGTATCACGTTGATATAAAGTTCTGCCTGCGGTCCAAACACAGAAACTAAGCAAGATCTCTATCTGAAATGATCCGAACTCCCGTCAGCATCAGCTGAGCCGATGTCCTCCATCCGTTCCGGGCACAAGCGCTCTATCTCTTCCCTAGAACGGTGGCCTGCCTCTCTCCACCGGCTGGAGCTGCACAAGTCGACTTGCCCTCGCTGGTCGGGCTCTCTCCCTCGGCGTTGGTATTTTCCTTTCGCAGCACGTAGAACAATAATACTACCGCTACGCGGCCGTCCTTCCAAGCTGTCGTAGGCCAGGCCACTTGCTCGTTTGAAGTGGAATGCTTCGTAGGGTCTCTAGCTGTCCTCGGATCGCTAGTTGATTGACTGATTGCTATCTTTAGCCAGAATGAAGGTTTCTTATAGTTAAACCACCTAGTTCTCGTAGTTAAACCACCTAACCTATTCTATGGCTTGTTCCTAAAAAGTATCACAAAAAGCGCGCCCTTTTTTGTCGCTAATGCTGTCCCGTAGTCGTTCGGGAAGCAGCAATGCGAGTCGTCATTGTTGTATGCACGTTCGTACCCATCCAAGCGCACTCCTATAACCTCAGCCACTCGGTCCCGACGTCTAACTGACAGCTGAATGACGTCTAGTCCATTGCTAGCAAGACTTTTGTGTGTGTATAGATCTGTGCTTCGATACGTAACACCTGTCAGCGGGAACGAAACTCTCATAGATAATAAACATTGCACCTTACTTGTATTTAGAACCTTTTTTACTATGGTTTTATGCTCGATATCTACATATCTCGGTCGCGAGCTAAACTCCGCGAGTTCACTACCTTGTTAGCGTTTTTTTTTTTTATTACTTCATTAATAGTTTCGTCTTTCTCACAACGGTTAATGACACAAATGGTGATTCAAAGGCAGAAGAGTAAAAAACAACTGGTGCTTTTTGCAGGGCGCACGTCTGCTGATCCTGTTAACATACGACATAGAGCTATGGTGCTTGTTATAGTTGACGGCTATGATTACCGTTCGTCGTCGCAAATATTCGTAGTGACGGCAGCAGCAGCACAATACTCGTTGTCTGAATAGCAAACATCCCTTTGTCACGCTAATTACAGGGTTCTCCAAGATTGAGCAACAGTTCGAGTCGAGCGAGAAACAACTATGGGTAGCGCGAGAGAGAAGGGGACGGTACAGCGAGCTCAACCAAAGAACTACTTTAGCCGTTTTCCTTGCACTTGTGTGGCTTACTGTTAGGCTTCAGTAGCGTCAAGACGGAACTTAAACCGGAAGTCAGAACATGCACTATTGCCGTTTCATCGATGTCAGCGGCAGTGTTGACGTACTGCGGCCATCGTGGCAGGTGCCAGAGACGACAAGGACAAGAACGTCTTGATGCCGGTGGACTGTTCTGGCGGTATAGCGCACTTTGTTGTTGTGCTCAGTGTCCGTTGTACAACTCCTTCTACAGCGACCACAATTTGTTGCTGTTGTGGTAATGACAATTTATTTCCAAGACGAGCGCCTTGCTCTAATGATCTTACGCCACTCTCCTGTTTTTCTCTGTCATCAGCGTATGAATCATGCTGATGTTCCAGTTTCTGTTGAGCTCTCTTCTGCCGAGGTTGATTCAGCAAAGATGTCGGGTGTGGGTGCATTCTGTCGCACAGCAACCCTGGCTGCGCAGCAGAACGGAAAGGCGTAAAACGTCCCCGTAAGACCAAGAGCGTCACGCCACTATTCTCTGTGCCAGCTGCTCAAAGGAAAGCAGTCTGTAAAAGCCGCTAAACACTTGCCATAACTAGTTTAGAAACCACCATTAAATCGCCCGTGGCGAATGAGGCCGCGGCAGCGACTCGTCTGGCTAGCTTCATCGGCCTCAGGTATGCCTGTTTGACTATGTCGCCATGGACACCGAGTCGCCCCACCCCGTGTCCCACTTCTCCCCTTCGAAGCAGAGGACGACAAGTTTACTAGAATTGTTCCCTGTTCAGAGAGGTAGCGAGCGAAGCCTCACACGCACCGAGGACGTGAACCGTAAAGATTGCCTTTTGGCCCGCTTATTACTTAAACCCCCAGCCCCATCCCGCTGCAACCCAAACCATCGTCAGAATTGCTTCGGGCGAAGGCGTGCTATGCACGGCTACGCAGGCTAGACGCACGCCACCAGCGACAATTGGAGGGTCGCGTGGTCAGTCAGTCGGTCTGTCAGCTGCCCAGCACCAGGTTTGATGCTCATAAAGAGAGTAACTATCGTGAATTAGACCGAAGCCTATGAGAGCCAAAACGCGATGGACAAAGACAAAGGGGGAGTCCGTAGGGGAGCAAGCGAGACAGGTCTGCGCTATTATTTCTACTGTGCATTTCTGGCGGAATCCATTTCTACTGTCAACCCGAGATGGCAAATCACTCACATCTGGCCGACGTTACCATTGCTTTCTGGGCAGAACACAACAGTTACGAGCTATATTTAACTTACTCTAGTTTGACACTCAGGCACGCCGATATACAGTATACATAGCCGAAACGCGAGCTATAGCAGAATCCGGAAAGGCGGCGCAGCGAGGCAGAGATGAGAGCGAAACAAACGGCCGCTAATCAGAACAGATCTCAGAGTATCCGAAAACCCTCTCAGCATCCTAGTCTTGGCGGCAGGTAGCACAGGCAGATATTGTTGTGTGCTGCGGTTAGACAGCATCTGCCTCTAAAATGCCACCATCATTGGGTTACTATTGTCTTACAGTTACACATCCACATTAGTCAGCATTTGCCTGGAGCATTGTGATATCGCGTGTTTGTTTTACTTCGAATCCATTTCTTCCGCTAACCCCTATTTTTCTACTGCTGCCTGTTCTGTGGTAACACTTGCTGGATTTTTACACGTAATTACCTTAGACGTGTATTCGTAATGAGGATTGGTGACGCTCAATAACGCAAGACCGGTATGTGTTGATAATCGCGACTACACTATCAAACACGTAATTGGTTAATGTTGAAATAGAACTCTTCATGGACGTAGGCATACACAGAAACTAAGTAGTTTCCGATTGAGTCTGATGTCGTTGCTATGTGATGTGCGATGGCAGATATGCCGCTGTGATTACGGAAAAAAGACTGATAATATCTTATTAGCCAAGCTTGATTTTACGGGTGTCTGATTGAATTCCATCAGTGGGATTATAAGGTGATAACTGATGCGAAAAAGCCCCGGCTGACTGGAGTCAGCTCTAACCCTATGATGTGTATTATATATTCGCTTATTGGAAGGACTTGAGTAATATTACCGTATTTTCGTGTACATATTTTGTCAAAAAAAAATTCAAGACGAAGGGTTGTAGATGGCGACACATTAGAAACATGGTACAAACAACAGAATCGGACGCTATAACTGGCTCGTTGGTGCGTTCGTCGTATTAAGTTAGCCCACACCTTTAATTTCTTTATTTTAATTTATACTATAGGACACCCTAGTTTAAACAAGTTGAAATCAAATGAGCCTCCGTCCTCGATGAAATCTAATCAATCAATTTTGAATAGACTGTATTTTGCAGCACTAGACTAGTTAGCATTCATCTCCGTGTTATGCACTGATATATAGCATCGTATACTAACGGCGTGCGTAATACTACGTTATTTGTCCCGGCTTAAATCGAATGCTAGATATATCGTGAAGGTAGGCCAGATGCTTTTACTGCAAGAGCTGCGGTACACTGGAAAAATGTCCGATCTAAGCAAGCTACACTGTAGGGGGAGATTTCTTTGACAGACGTAGTTGAACGTTTTGGCATTTTTTTAGGTTTTTCAATTTTGTTACTATAGAGCCACTGGCTGTTGACGTCACATTTGCCATTGTTCAGTCAGCTGGAGCCCTAATATCATCTGCTAAATGTTTTTTCGCCAGAAACAAAAGCCCGCTGCTACGAGCGTTATGATGAAGCTTTGTGTTGACACACGGCCCTCACGCCGATGTACGACCTTCTATGTCAGAGCACATGAGGAGAACCGTGTCCCGCTAAGACGGCTGTATTTGGCGACCCTACAAGGGCAATGCCATTGACACTGACCTCCTGCGGTAACTGTCTAGGTAACCAATGTAGAAGTATATAGGTTAATATTTGATTAAGCATTTAAAGCGACGACTAACCCACCTTTGACGATAGCTACATAGAGAATCGGGCGCGCTGTTTCAAATGTGTCGGCTAAGTTCTACGCTGCGTCAGGCAATCCTTCCATTATTGAGACCAAACTCTATAAAAATGATTTAGCAAAAGCTTCATCGCAACAGAGGTGCTGTATCTTACACGACGGACGAATTCATATCAAAAGATATACATCCTTTTATCGTTGCGGCCTGCGTCTATTTTACCGAAGGCCAGCACTGCCTTCGAAGCCTCGATGACCATTGTCGTACACGAACTAATGACCCACGGTTATGTCATAGACTTCACACTGTAACAAGTAGATTTGAAATGTTTGTCGAGTAGAAGACATTAAAAAGTTGTTGAAATCTACTGTTTTTGATTTTGAGAGACCTGTATTTTTCAAGTTAGATCGGTCGGTCATTACGACGCCAGGACAATGATACTTATTGCGGGACAGATTAGACCGATGATCAACTCCACAGAAAACCTAACGTGCCAACGAAGCAAGCGGTGAACTGCATGTTAGCAACAGAAGTATGTTCGTTAACCAATCTAAAATTTAAGCTGGGTTTGACTAATGACCTCATTGATGCCGCAGCGGCACTAACAATTTGTATGCGCATTCGTTGAACCCTAACAACAGCAGGGTATCGCTTACAGTGTGTGCTAAGCTATACCAGCAACGATACTTCAGCTACGATAGCCTCCTGGGAACTAGGACGTCGTGCGTCCATAGAACCACGTTCCTTCTAGAACTGTGCATCAGGCATCAGGCATGGGTTCGCTGCTCATCACTTTTTAAGTTTGGAGCCAGCAATCGTTGCAAGAAGTGCGAAGATAATAATGGCTCTTATAAAATCTAGCGTAACATCATGATTTTAATTCGTGCTCACTCAAAGATAATCGCAAATCTTATCCGATCTGATTAGATAGTAATCTTTGATTGTATTAGATAAAATATCAGATAAACGTCAAGCTATCTGTTTATCTATTTTTATTGTTTATTATTACTACTGTTATCACAATCAGTTAAGACTTGGACCTGTCCAGAGATCGGACCGAGATACACGTAGTGAGCCTACTTAAAGAAAAACTAGCCGAAATACCTACCGAAGGCTAATTGTGTGAGGTGGGCTACTTTAGCTTTATGGTTAGCTAGCAAGAACGAGCATCTCTAACCTACACGCTCTGCGTTTCAATAATCACCGACGTGTATTTTCTCATAAATCCATGCTATAATGCTTGCATCATTGTTCCTTGCTCACGTTTATTCACCAACATGCGTTCATCCCATGTCCGGTATCCTCTAGCGCCTAGTGTATTTGATTTCACGTCGCACTGTCTAGACCTCGTAATCCCTTCCTGTAAGCATCGGGTTCCATTGTTTCCAAGACCGACTAAGGCGTTGCGCTATCGAAAGCCCGAGTCCGCTGTAACAGGCCCAGATAATTAAATCCCTTGAGGCATATGTTGGCGTCGTGGCAATACTCGCTGTAATCGCGGCTGTGCGTCCTGCCCAGTATGATCGATTGCCACTTTCTTACATGCGGGCAATCTTCGACTGCTGGTCAATGGTGTAGGAAGAAATGTGCTTTCTTCAATTTCTCGCTGGCACCCATTACAGCCGCATACGTACAGTCGTGTTCAGGTCCACAACCTTCAATTTAGAAAAGAGTAGGTCATCAGCCGGCGTGCATGGCCCCGGTAGCAATTTGGGAACACCAACATCTTGGTTAATTTTGGTACAACTGGTTATGATCGCTTTGTACTGGTCCGGCATGGAATGTTTTCGTTGATGATGAACCCATGGATCTTGCATTCTTTGAGCATTACATCCGCCGCCAAGAACTGGTTAGGGTATACACCATAATCGATACATTTAGAATAATACTCTTGATAGCAGGCGTATAGATTGGCAGATATGCACCACGGCCTTCATAGTCTTAACACATCTGGGACTTGCTATTATAGTATGCCTTGCCTTTACAACCATAATCTGCCATGCAGATCTGAGGACACTACGCGTTCATAAGGCTCTCTCAGAACAAAAACAATGAAAGTTTATTCTGATGTGCCGTAAGGAGGAAATTTTCGTTGTGTGGCACATAGTTTCGTACCACTAGAGCTAACTTGGCGGAGGAATCGACCTCGACGCCATTGTAATGAAATTCATCACAGGAATCTATTTCGTGTTTTTCGACGTTAGCTATGAACACGTGAAACAGGCTCCAGTTCATCAAGCAACACTCGTTTAGCACACATAGACCGTTTAAACGTCTTCATGGAGCGGTAGAAGCATTGCTTGGGAAACTGCATTTTTCGAAGAGAAACTGTTATAGGGTCTCTTGTAAACCGGTCCATGTAGTCGTGTGTCATGCACGTAAGTTGTATCCTACTCGGGACGTCTTTTACAACGCCGTTCAACCACGCAAGTGTGTCGGTTCAACAATGTATTTATACGGCCAGCCATCTCACCGCCGCCACCAAAATGAAGCGGATGGGCTTAACTTTGTCGCTTCCAGCCAATTGCTTCGCGTCTATATATACGTACGCGTACTTATTTATTAATAATGTTGCCACTTATGCTAGGTTTGTGTTTTTAAATTGCCGAGCTGTTTTAAATCGTATCAGCTTCCTATTGGTGATGTT